CTGGGCAATGCAAGACTCCCCGCGCGCGCGCGCGATCGCGCGCGCGCGTATAAGGAGTTCTGTATTGTCCCTCGGTCGAAAGACCGACATGTAATTCCAAAAGCTGAATTGGACATTTCTGCGACCTTTCAGGGGGGCCCACGGGGGCGCCGACTTTTCTATTGTGGACAATACAGAACTCCCCACGCGCGCCCGCTCGCGCGCGTAAGGAGTTCTGTTTTGTCTCTTAGTCGAAAAGCCGACATGTAATTCCAAAAACTGGATTGACAATTTCTGTGGCCCTGTAAGGAGGCCGACGGACGTGCCGACTCTTCTACTGTGGACAATACAGAACTCCCCACGCGCGCGCGTAAGGAGTTCTGCGTTGTCTCTTAATAGAAAAGCCGACATGTAATTCCAAGGGCTGAATTGAAAATTTCTGTGACCCTTTGAGGAGGCCGACGGACGCGCCGACTTTTTTTTATTGTGGACACTACAGAACTCCCCACGCGCGCGCGATCGCGCGCGCGTGTAAGGATTTCTGCATTGTCTCTCAATAGAAGAGCCGACTTGCAATTCCAAAAATTGAACTCATAATTTCTGTTACCCTTTAGCGAGGCCGACGGACGCGCCGACTTCTCTATTGTGGACAATGCAGAACTCCCCACCCGCGCGCGCAATGAGTTCTGCATTGTCTCTTAATAGAGAAGCCGACATGTAATTCCAAGCACTGAATTGAACATTTCTGTGACCCTTCAAGGAGGCCGACGGACGCGCCGACTTTTCTATTGTGGACAAGACAGAAACTCCCCACGCACGCGCGCGCGTATGGAGTTCTTTATGGTCTCTTAATAGAAATGCCGGCATGTAATTCCAACAGCTGAATTCGAACTGTCTGTGGCCCCTTAAGGAGGCCGACGGGCGCGCCGACTTCTCTCTTGTGGGCAATGCAGAATTCTCCACGCGCGCGTGTAAGGAGTTCTGCATTGTCTCTTAATAGCAAAGCCAACATGTAATCCGAAAAACTGTATTCAACATTTCTGTGACCGTGGAAGGAAGCCGACGGACGCGCCGACTTTTCTATTATTGTGGACTACAGAACCCCCAAGCGCGCGTGTAAGGAGATTCGTAGTGTCTCTTAATAGAGAAGCCGACATGTAATCCCAAAAACTGAATTCAAACTTTCTGTGGCCCTCTAAGGAGGCCGACGGACGCGCCGATTTTTCTATTGTGGACAAGACAGAACTAACTCACCACGCACGCGCGCGCGCGTGCAAGGAGTTCTATAGTGTCTCTCAAAAGAAAAGCCGGCATGTAATTCCAAAAGCTGAAGTCATAATTTCTGTGACCCTTCAGCGAGGCCGTCCCCGCCGACTTATCTACTGTGGACAATGCAGAACTCCCCATGTGCGCGCGTAAGGGCTTCTGCATAGCATCTCAATGGAAAAGCCGACATGTAATTCCAAGGGCTGAATTGAAAATTTCTGTGACCCTGAAAGGAGGCCGACGGACGCGCCGACTTTTCTATTATGGACAATACAGAACTCCCCACGCGCGCGCGTAAGGAGTTCTGCGTTGCCCCTTTTAATAGAAAGGCCGACATGTAATTCCAACATCTGAATTCGAACTTGCTGCGGCCCCTTCAGGAGGCCGACGGACGCGCCGACGTTTTACTGTGGGCAATGCAGAACTCCCCACGCGCGCGCGCGCTTGCGCGTGTAAGGAGTTCGTTATTGTCTGTTAATAAGAAAGCCGACATGTAATTCCAAAAACTGCATTCAAGCTTTCTGGGGCCTTTTTAGCGAGGCCGACGGACGCGCCGACTTTTCTATTGTGGTCCGTACAGAGCTCCCCCCGCGCGCGCGTAAGGAGTTCTGCGTTGTCTTTTAATGGAAAAGCCGACATGTAATTCCAAGCACTGAATTCAAAGTTTCTTTGACCCTCTGAGGAGGCCGACGGACGCGACGACTTTTCTATGGTGGAGACTACAGAATTCCCCACGCGCGCGCGTAAGGAGTTCTGTGTTGTGTCTTGATAGAAAAGCCGACATGTAATTCCAAAAACTGAATTCACAATTTCTGTGACCCTGTATGGAGGCAGACGGATGCGCCGACTTTTCTACGGTGGACAATACAGATTTCCCCACGCGCGCGTAAGGAGTTTTGTATTGCTTCTTAGTAGAAAAACCGGCATGTATTTCCAAAAACTGGAACATTTGCCGACTGACGCGCCGACTTTTTTTATTCTGGACAATGCAGAACTCCCCGCGCGCGTGCGCGCGATCGCGCGCGCGCGTGTAAGGAGTTCTGTATTGTCTTTCAGGAGAAAAAAGCCGACATGTAATTCCAAAAACTGGATTGAAAATTGTGGCTACCTTTTACGGAGGCCCACGGACAGGGCAATTCTATTGTGGAGTTTCCTATTGTGGACAATACAGAACTCCCAACGCGCGCCCGCGCCCTCGCGCGTAAAGGAGTTCTGTATTATCTCTTAGTAGCAAAGCCGACATGTAATTCCAAAAGCCGGATTGAAAATTTCTATGACCATTTAAGGAGGCCGACGAACGCGCCATTTTTTTATTCTTGACAATACAGAACTCCCCACGCGCGCGCGTGTAAGGAGTTCTGTACTGTCTCTTTATAAAGAAGCCGACATGTAACACCAAAAGCTGAATTGAAACTTGCTGTGACCCTTGAAGGAGGCCGACGGGCGCGCCGACCTTTCGACTGTGGACAATACAGAGCTCCCCACGCGCGCGCGCGCGTTGGGAGTTCTGGATTGTCCACAATAGAACAGTCGCCATGTTGGCCTGGAAACTTGAGTGGCCCCTTAGCGGTGACCGCGTGGATTTGGAAGTTAACATTGGTTTTGTGGCATGTTTTCCATGATTGGCAACATAGGGCATCCAACGCACGCGCGCTCGCGCGCGCGCGAGTTTGGGGTTCTGTATTTTGCACAACAGAAAAGTCGCCATGTTGGCAGGGAAACTTATCTGATCCCTTAGCAGTGACCGCTTGGATTTTGAAGTTAACATGGGGTTTGGTATGTTTTCCAAGACGGAGTTCGCAGGGCACCCTGCATCCCACGCACGCGCGTTCGCGTTGGGGGTTCTGCATCGTCCACAATTGAACAGTCGCCTTGTTGGCCTGGAAACTGAAGTGATCCCTTAGCGGTGACCGATTGGGTTTTGAAGTTAACATTTGTTTTGGTTGCATGGTATCCATGATTGGCAACGCAGGGCGTCCAACGCACGCGCGCGCGCGAGTTTAGAAAGTCGCCCTGTTGGCTTGGCAACTAAAGTGATCCCTTAGCGGTGACCGTTTGGAATTTGAAGTTAACGTTGGTTTTGTTGCATGTTTTCCATAATGGGCAACACAGGGCATCGAGCGCGCGCGCGAATTGGGGGTTCTGTATTCTCCACAATTGAAAAGTCGCCATGTTTGCATGGAAACTAAAGATGTCCCTTAGAGGTGACCGGTTGGATTTTGAAGTTAACACTGAGTTTGTTATGTTCCCATGATGGACAACACGGGGCATCCCACGCGCGCGCTCGTTGGATTTTGAAATTTACGTTGGTTTTGTTGCATGTTGTCCATGATGGGCAACGCATGGCATCCAACGCGCGCGCGCGTGCGTTCGCGAATCGGGGGTCTGTGTTGTCCACAATAGAAAAGTCGCCGTGTTGGCATGGACATTAAAGTGTTCCTTCAGCGGTGACCGATTTGATGTTGAAGTTGACATTGAGTTTGTTATGCTTTCCATGATTGACACATTGGCGGCGCGCAGGCGAACGCACCCGCAGGCTCTTCAACCGCTATAGTGGTTGTTTGCGTTTGTTTCATTGTTTTCAGCGGCAGCCCTGCACCGTGGCTGGAAAATCTTCCGCGCGTTGTTTTGTATTCGCTCGCTGCCGCTAGTTTTGTTTTCGGCCCGAGCCCGCAAGGCCGCGCACGCGCGCCATGGACTCCCTTTTTGATTTGTTTGATGGCCCTCGTAAGCACGCGGCCATGTGGTCCTGGCTGACCAGAAGACACATGATGTCGGATTGAACGAATTGATTGCAGCACTGGCCCGAATATTTGATTCCTCTTCTGGGCCGATGGCCTGAGTGTATTGTTGTTGTCGCTGGCCCGCCCAGTTTTCCATTTTACCCAGTTTCCGATCATTGTGTTCATTTTGATTTCAGCGTTCATTGATTTCGGCTTCCTGGTATACTGTAGCGCCCTCCGGCCAATGCCGATCCTGGGGCGGCTGGATGTTTGTGTGAGGGTTTTTTCCGTGCAGTTTTGAAGCCTATTGTGCGCCGCTGTGGGGCTTTAGGGGGCTTCTTGGGACCTCGAGGGGGTATCTTGGGGCGGAACGCAGGAATTATCGGTTCGGGCTTCCGCTCTGGGGCCTCTCTTGGCGCTGTCTTACAGCTTTCTTGGGCCGTCTTGGGCGCCTACTGGGCAATTTTCGGGGGTCTCCGGTACCATCTTGGAAACTATTTGGGGCGTCTTGGACGTCGTGGACGCCGAGAAGTCGGACGTGCTAAAAATGCAAGTATTCCCAAAATAATTGTTTTTTTTTTTTTTTGTTTTGCCACTCGTCGTCTCTTGGGTCGTCTTGTGCGCTTTTGCGGCCGAGTGGAGACTATCCTGAGCGTCTGAGCGCCTAGGCTTAAGCGGTTCTGAATGTTACATTTTGACGTGTCCAAGGCCCCCCAAGACAGCGGAGCAAAGCGGAGCGCAGGCGCAGCAGGGGGATCCCCGCCCCCCCTTCCCCCGGCAGAGCCACCCCAGCAACCCCCCCAGCAGAGCTGAAGCTCAGGCTCCAGGCTGCAGCTTAGGCTTTGTGAACCTCACACGCCGGATCGGCGGATTTGTGTGTCCCTGGGCCCCTTCAGAGGACTGGGGCCTGCGCTGTGGCACTGCGCGGGGGCCTGGCTGCGCGAAGGCGGCCGGGCGCGGCCAGCAGAGGTTTGCTTCCCCCCGGATCAGGGGCTCTGGCCCGCAGGCCGGAGCCCATGCGGTCCCCGCCAGGTGGCGACGAGCCCCGCAAGAACAGTACGGCCTCGAAGATTCAGGCCCGGCGCGGCCGAGACCGCGGGGGTGCTGGGATTCGGCTTGTCGCAGTCACCGCCGCCGCCGTCGCTGTCGCCGTCGCTCCTCCTCCTCCGTCCTCCTCCTCCCCCTCCTCCCCGTGCCCCTCCTCTCCATTCCTCTCCGCTCCCTCTTCCATCCCCTCCTGTCGCTGTCGGCGTCGGGGTTCAGGTCGAACGCAGCAGTCCCCTACTCATCTTCCTCCTCCTCCTCCTCCTCCTCCTCCTCCTCCTCGTTGTTCCCCTTCTCCTCCTCGTTGTCCTCCCCTCCTCCTCTTCCTCCTCCTCCTCCTCCTCCTTTTCCTCCTCCTCCTCCTCCTTTTCCTTTTCCCCTCCTCCTCCTCCTCCTCTCCTCCTCCTCCTCCTCCTCTCCTCCTTTTCCTCCTCCTCCTATCCCTCCCCCTCCCCCTCCTCCTCCTCCTCCTCCTCCTCCTCCTCCTCCTGCTCCTCCTCCTCCTCCTCCTCCTCCTCCTCCTCCTGCTCCTCCTCCTCCTCCTCCTCCTCCTCCTCCTCCTCTTCCTCCTCCCCCTCCTCTCCTCCTCCTCCTCCTCCTGCTCCTCCTCCTCTCCTCCTCCTCCTCCTCCTCCTCCTCTTCCTCCCCTCCCCCTCCTCCTCATGTTGCTCCTCTTCCTCCTCCTCCTCCTCCTGTTCCTTCCCTCTTCGGCCTCTTCCCCTCTTTAACAGCATGCGCCCGATAATAAAGCACCCTCCCCTTCCCACCAACCTCATGATTATTTCTGGCCAAGACAGCGTGGGTCGGATTGCAATATCTTAGCATGAGTATCCTCTTCCTCCTCCTCCTCCTCATCATCATCAGCAGCAGCATCGTCATCATCATGATCATCATGATCATCATCATCATCATCATCATCATCATCATCATCATCATCATCATCATCATCATCATCATCATCATCATCATCATCATCAACATCAACATCAACATCAACATCAACATCAACATCAACATCAACATCATCATAGCGCTGCCGTGTTGCTCAGGTCCTTCTAGCAGCGCGGCGCCCGTTCCATCTGCACCCTGCAGGTGGTACACACTCCGCAGGCCATCGCGCATGGTGAAGTCCTAGCTTCGAAGGCAGGAGATGAACCGGCCGCTCACGCCGCAGACGGGCGCAGGAGGATGGAGGCCACGCTGCATACAATACAATCCTCAAGCTCTGCCACTACGCCGCAACCTCTCGGACGTGCTGGCCGAGTTCTCGTCTGCACATGTGGTTTCATTGACGGGTACATGTCAAAACGTTCAAGCACCTTTCGTATGACCAATCTCTTTCTTTTGCAGGGAGACGTGTGAATGAATGGCAGGCTTGGCAGTGGCCCACGGAGGCCATCAAATCCACGAGCCGACGACGTACACGCAAGATGGGCACGAACACTTCCGCAGGCTGTATGATTGCTTTGGATAGAACAGTTTTCCCCAACCATCGTCGAGTTCGGACCTGGGAGACGCCCAAGGGTTTACAAGGACGTGGCGGTGCTGTACGATACAAATGGGCTATGCAGTATGACCTTTGTTTTTTTGAGTAGCTATTGCATGCTTGAGCCTTACGATGAGGCAGGGCGTCAATGGAGACGCAAACTGCTCAGCTGGATTTCGGAAGTTCTGGACTCGTTGCCGACCCGTTGTGCACCGATCTTGCTTTGCGACTCCAGCTTTCACAGTGGGTTTGAAGGTATCGGATCTATATTACAGAATATGCCTGAGGGAGATGCTGTGGGCCGTGCCTGCCCTGAAGCCGAGACTGTGTCAGGTACGGTTTGGAGGCTTGTTGTTAAACCAACATCATTTGGCGCTTGCGAATGCACATGTTTTTGGGGGGGCGGGCCCCGCTTTCTTCGAGTCGGGCAATTCCAAGACGCGGGTTGGCTACTCTGCGGTTCCCAAGAATGCTATGAATCGAGTTGAACAAATTAAGGTGTGGTACAGCACTGGTTTCAAACTTCAGTTGTGTAAATCGACATGCGCAGCATCAGAAAACGTTGATCATTGTCCAGTGGTTATGGACTTCCGTTGTGCAGACTGGCGCGGGGAGGAGGGGCATAATTCTATTCGTTAGAATCGGGATTGAATCATGTCGGGCTGGCTTCGTAATGAAGATGGCCGTATACTTTTTGTGAATGAAGTGGAGCAGTGGGCCAGTTCTGATGAGGTATGCAATGAGATGCGGACTCACTGTTCGAACGGTTCTGTCGACGCAGCTTGGCATTTGTGGAATCAGGGACTGTGCGACCTCGCCGTTGCTCGCTACGGAAACACTGCGCAAGCTTATTGCCCTTTTCCACTGGCAGATGACACGCAGACCGTACACCAGAGGTACAACGATTAGCGATCAGAAATGTGGCGACGACGGCGTACTCCTGCCGAAGACCCAGCACCGGGTGAACAGATGAATGAGGAGTTTGCTGAGGTTCTGGAACGTCTCCGCAAGCTTCGTGGACGAGACTTCCGACGCGCACAGGACGGATGGGCTGCCGAATTAGAGACAGCGGAGGCTCAACACCATTGGCGGGACGCGCGGAGACTCAGTCGAACAATTGCAGGCGCGCAGCTTGGCCCCAAGAAGCGCCAGTTTCTTTTTTCTTCAACGCAACCTCCAACTTGCCAAGCCAAGACTGGATTGACTACGTGGGTCTGCCTGGAGCTGAAGGCGGAACGCGCGCGTCTCTGGTGCTCCGAGGGCCACGAGATCACAGTCAGAATCGAGGTGAACATCAAAAATTGGTTCCCCAGCTTCCGGATGTTGCCACTTTAGTTCGCGATGTGCCGCGCGCCCCTCAGGAGCGCCAGCGTGCTCTCGCAGCTCTCGAGTCCAGGTACTTCGAGGACCCACCTTCAGGGTCTGAGTTGCCTTCAGGATCAGAATCGCGTCCAGGGGCTGAATTGTTTCCAGGATTTGAATTATTTAGGGGATCTCAATTACCTCCAGGATCTGAATTACATCCAGGATCCGACTTACGTCCAGGATCTGAATTGCCTCCATGACCTGAATCGCGTCCAGGAGGGATCTGAAACGCCTCCAGACGTGGAACCTAGGTCACTTTCTTCTTGCGGGACAACATGTGGAAGCTCTTCGGGATCTCTGGGACGCGACTCGAAGTCTGAACAAGGCAAAAGCTCGTAAACAAGTTCCTGCATGGTCAATACCTCGGGAAATCTGGCTGATGAGTTTGAGGGCGCCGCAACAGTCAACCAGTGATCTTCCTGAGGCCGAACGACGTTTCTTACGAGAAGGTTTCTTCTACAGCTTGATCATGCAGAGTTTCATAATTATTTGACGCATCCAAGATACCCTTAATATCTGGCATGTAAGTGAGGCCTGCCCCACCCCCAAGGGTAACGGACAAATCGAGTGCGAAGCGGAGCGGATAATCCATCTCCTGGGCCCTGCGGGGAAGTCTTTTCATAGTGCTCTCTGGAACCGTCGCGAGGTGCGTAACTATCATAAGTTCACCGGCTTCAAACCAGGACGCCGGCGTGAACAGTCCATTTTGCAGATGCGCTGTGTACAGTAGCGACTATTGCAGAGAGGATTGAGTTGGATCGGGCCCTTCTAAAGCGTGGCTAACGCCTTCGCCTCCGTCTCCCACGTCGCCCTGGATAGTGTGATCGACAACGCGCTCGACGGGGAACCGGCTCGCATCGTGGAACATCGGCATCGACGGGCTACGACATGCCTGGATTTGCATTCTGGCGAATGGGCTCTCTTGGACCTCGGGCGTGGAGACCCCCAGGGGCCGCCGCCGCGCCATCTCGTTTTACTTGTGTTTGCGATCCTCAGATTTAGACGTGGATTCAGGCGGCGGAGGAGGAGGGGGGGCTAGCATCTTTCAGGTTCGCGAGCCCATCGCAGGCGTTACAGTGAACATCTCTTTTACCACCTTCGCCGATGATATAACTCGCATCGGCCTGGCGCGCGGCGACTCCCAGGCTCGGGCAGCAGCTGACAAGCTGACGGAGTGGGACGTCGGTCTTAAGCGCGTGGTCACGGACACCGCGGAGCTGGATCATAATGAAGATAAGAAGGGAAATTCTAGACGCTTCGCGTATCCCCACCAGCCCGTCCAGAAATGAGTCCCAGGGGAGTGGAGGTTATGAGGGAAGCGGGGGAGCATGCAGAAGAACAAAGGGCGGGGTGAGCCGCCATATGCCCCAAGAGGGGGAAGATGTAGGAGGAGCCGTCGTCGTCGGAGTAGGAGGAGGAAGAGGAGGGGCAGGAGGAGGAGCAGGAGGAGGAGGAGGAATAGAAGGAGGAGGAGATGGAGGACTGCGAGGACGAGGAGGACGAGAAGGAGGAAAAGGAGAAGGAGGAGGAGGAGGAGGAGGGGGAGGGGGAGCAGGGAGGAGGAAAAAAAAGAGGAGGAGGAGGAGGAGGAGGAGGAGGAGGAGGAGGACAATTGCGAGCTTGGGGGCCTCTTGGGCCGTCCTTGGGGCCTCTTGGCGGTCCCGGGGGCCTCTTGCGTATCTCGGGGGCCTCTTGTGGCCTCTTGGGGGTCTCTTGGGGGCCTCTTGGAGGCCTCTTGGGGGCCTCTTGGGGCCTCTTGGGGCCCTCTTGGGGCCCTCTTGGGGCGCTCTTGGGAGCCTTCGAGGCGCTCTTGGGGCCATCTTGGAGGAGATCTATCAAAGAAGGGGGGGGGTCCAATTAGCGCTGCCCCTCTAGAGTGCCTCGAGTCGCCTCTTGGGCCCCCCCAAGAGGCCAAAATCCTTCCAAGACCTAGGTAAAATCATTTTGTTTTGTTTTCTCGCCTTTTCGCTCTTGGACCCGTCTTGGGAGCCTCTTGGGCCTCTTGGGGGTCTCTTGGGGGTCTCTTGGCAACGTCTTGGAGGTTTCTTGGGGGCCTCTTGGGGTCTCTTGGGGCCCTCTTGAGGCGCTCTTGGGGCGCTCTTGGGAGCCTTCGGGGCGCTCTTTGGGCCATCTTGGAGGAGATCTATCAAAGAAGGGGGGGTTGCTTATTAGCCCCGCCCC